TTTCTACAAATCTGAGATAAACTTTAGGTTGGTCAGTCAGTCAGTCAAATACTTTATTGTATATAGCCATAGACCATTACAAGTTGAGAAGCCACATCTCTCCTTATATATAATTGAGTAAGGGAGCGGAGAAAAAATGTGCACCGTCAGCCATTGGCCCACCAGCTGCTGCTCAAGGCTGCTGGCGTGCCATTGGCTGGGAGACAGGAGGCGAATGCTGCAAGCGGACGCTGCTGCCAGGAACCAGAGAAGGGAGGCAGCGAGGCCAGACAACGGAGCTGGGCGGGGGCCGGCGCCAGGAGGATGCGGCAGCCCCAGTGAAGCGGAATGTCCGCGAGGGGGATGGCAGAGGCTGGGGACGGCGGGTGAGGGGCTCATTCCCGAACGGCCGGCTGGTCTGCCTCGCTCCACCACCTTCTTCGGCGGGGTGCCCTGTGCCGGGGCCACATGTTGTTGAAGGTTCTCCACAGTGCAAGTGGGCCTGGCACAGTAGCCAGTATCACACAACTGGGCCAGTTTTCTCAGATAAAGGCTGTCAGGAGGGAAAGCTGAAGACTGGGGCGAGGTAAAAATAAGCTGGTGGACAAGAAGGAGAAGAAATCAGGAGGTGAATTAATCTGGCAGATATTTTTCTGTGTGAGAACGGTGTGAATTTTATTTTGACAAGTGCTATTGTTACTTGTCATTTAAGCTCCTAAAAACATGTCACAATTGTCTACATGTTTGAAGAGGACTAAGTCCCTGCTTCCCAAATTAAGTGACAATAGCCAGAACAATAAAGTGTCACGAATGTAACCTTTTCACTATGTTCTATTATCCAAGTGTAATTTATTCATTTATTTGTTGCAACTGTGATTATTACTTTTTTATTTAAATATTTTTACGTAAATGTTTTAATAGGGCATCTGATGTCTCCTTAACTGGCAGTTACATTTGAGTAAAATAATTTAATGATGAGCATTCATAGAAGTTGCACTTTGAATTCTTTAGGCAATTCAGATGAGCCGCGATGGTCAATACCTCCTTACAGGAGGAGACAATGGAGTTGTTATGGTATGGCAAGTGTGTGACCTCAAGCAACTTTTTGCCTATCCTGGTTGTGATGCTGGAATCCGATCCATGGCTCTTTCATATGACCAAAGGTAAGAGTCAATCAGTTTGATATCCTTAGTTTACAATACCATCTTGTACTGCCTTTATTGAATGAAATGCAGCAGGCAGGCAAAGAAACAGCATGTTTAAGATTAAGATTTAAACTAATCCCAGAGCAGTCTGTTTTTTTAATGTTGATGTTTTCTTCCATCTATCCCAGCTGTTTTAACACTCCTAACACGGTGGTGGTGGCAGGAGCAACGCCTAATGATAACTGACCTCAGTGGAAAGCTATACCATTAGACACTTTGACATTGGTGGTAGAGCATATATGTTTTGTTAAATACAACCTTAACATAAAGATGATGAGGATTCTCTGAATTAGTTTTTTCTCCCTCTTCATAGGTGTATAATGACCGGCATGGCTTCTGGCAGCATAGTGCTTTTCTACAATGATTTCAACAGGTGGCACCATGAATACCAAACCAGATACTGAAGCTGGAACACATACTGCTGCTGGCAGATGAAAACTTGAAGCATAGCAAGTCTCTCTTCAGAGTCTGGCCAGATCCTCAGTGCTTATAAATAGTAAATATAACATCTGAATGTAACTTAAAATTGCTGGAAGAAGCTATTTTTTAAAGTTAATTGCTATTTTTGTAGAACTTGCTTGACTTTTGGGGGGGAAGGGAAAAGAAGCAGAAAATGGCTGCTGGGGTCTGTAGTTTAAAAAGAAAATCTATATTTTTTAGTCATAGTAAGTCTATTTTGATTCATGTATGGGGAAAGACCTACATATGATGGCTAAAATTCTTGTACTAGCTATATTATGAAACATGTTTCTCATGTAAATCTTTATAATCTTGAGGATTAATCGATTTTAACAATGGAAGTTGGCTATAATACTGGGGTTTTAAACTGGGCTTACCCATACCACATTTTTGTCTTGTATCTTTACAATGATTGTAATTCTTCAGCACTGACTTTTCTGGGCATCAATAAGAATATTTAAATTATGAGATAAATGTAACTATTCTTTCCATCAACATAGTGATCAAGCATGCTTCTAAGTCTAGATGATTAGGGTGTATTTTTTTTTGTTTTAGTTTTCTGTTTTGTTGTGCAATTAATGAAGAGGAAATTAGCAACAGAGTTGATACACCAAGTGTGAGTCCTTATGGCTTTTTCCTGATCTCTCTTTCTGGCATAACTAAATGTGCATTGTTCCATAAACCCAACCTTAATTTTGAGATTTACTTCCATATTTTTCCATTAAATCATATGCGGATTCAAAGCACACTTCTGCCTGGAGCCTGATGTTTTAGGCAAGCAGCAAGAAAAGGATCACAGCATTGCCTATAGAAGCAAAAAATTTATTTCCATTATGGCATAGCTTGTGTAACAGCCAGTACAGCTGTATAATCTGAGCATGTTCTTTATTGGTCCTCATTCAATCATGTTGACAATATAGAATACCCTATCTTTCAGCTCTTGGGAAAATGAAAAGAATTTATACTAAAGGAACAATGTTATTTTGGTGTTGCATAAATTCTACTTTTTCTACAAGATTGCCATTCAGAACTATGTGAAGATATTTGTGAAAAGAATTGTATTGTTTTGTAGGTCTGTATTGCATAAATAATTACTTTGTATGTTGTGCTCTACTAAGGTTTGAAACATTCCACATATATATTGGTATATAATTTTCTTCAGCTGCCTACTTCAAGCCGTTCCCATTTTTTCTAGCATTCAACTACCTTCTCTTTCAGTAAAGTTTCAAAAAGGACAACTCAATTTGGGGGGGAAAAATCAATAAAAGGCATTTGTAATTTAGTGCATCTTTCATTGCAGTGGAATCTTATTGCTGAACTGGAACAATATAAAATTCACAATTTCCTTTATATTGAAAAATACTGACTTGATAGTGAATAGTATTTAACTACTTTTTTTAAAGTTGATCCTGTTGCTCTATAGTATTGATCTTTGTTTTAGACCTAATTATTAAACCAGCAACTACAGGCAGTCTTGGGTATTTTCCAGGGAACTTAAAGAATAATTCACATTTAAAATGATACAGTATCTTCTTGATAGCTCAAGGAATAGTTGATTTTGATTAAAAATGCTTATATTGGCATTGTTGAAAGAGAAGTTAAATCTCTAAGCCACCACATTTCAAATTAGAATTCCTTTATTCTAACAGCATGAAGATGGGAGTGAAAAAATTAGTATAAAATCAATTATTTACCTTTGCAAACATCAATGGTGTGTGTGTGTGTGTGTGTGTGCTATTTTAGACCAAATCAAATTATTTTATTATAATTTCCCCTTTCCTCCCACAGAAAGACGCTATAGTCAAATGTTCAGTGATAAGACTCACCATTCAAACTACATGTACATACATACAGTGTACAGCTAGTCTACAGCATTCCAAACACTGGGAAGTTTTAATAGGTGAATTCAGTTTGGGTTAATGTACACCATGCAAGGAGAGCAGGTTCTTTTTAAAAAGCAAGCTACTGGAGCAGCTGTGTAGCAACTTTCTTCCCAGCACGTTCAAGGAAGATAAATTCAGCTTCCAGTTTGCATCCAAGAATTTTTTTGAACTTCCATCTTATTTCATTTTAGCTCCCATTATCACATGGCCCCACTGCTTAGTCTATCAGTTCTAGAAATAGGCTGCACTGTTACCTTTTCAAGAATTGGGAAGTCAGAAAGGAAAAAAATCACTCTTATAATCGGAGGACAGCTGTGTTGGTCTTCAGTAGAATTGCTAGATTCAAGTCCAGCAGCACCTTAGAGACCAACAAGATTTCTGGGGTGTAAACGTCTGAGAGTCAACCGTCTCTGTATCTGACAAAGGGAGCTCTGACTCTCAAAAGTTTATACCCCCAAAATATTGCTAGTCTCTAAGGTGCCACAGCACTTGAATCTTGCTGTTCACTACTATTGATTGCAAAGAACTAAACAACAAACTCAGAAAATCTAAGTACTAAATGTACTTGTATACAGTTTGGCTCCTTATATCCAAGTCAGACACAGTTGACCAACATTGATTATTGTGTTGTTAATACCTGGCTGTGTTACAGAAGAATTGGCTTACTATATTTACGGTGGTTTTCCTGATTTTGTTTACAGTGCCTGAAAACTGATCACAGATGATTTAAGAGTCTAAAGATTTAGTATGGCAATGGGATCTGTTTACACAGGATGATTTATGTTCTTGGAACAATTCAGTAGTAAACAGACACTTAAGTTCCTCCCCAGTTACAATATACTTATGTGGTGGGACCTTTGCATTGTAGTGTTTTGCCCTGAAATTTTGGGTGTAATTCTCAGGAGTTCAACTTCTGCAAAGTCTTACTAAAATAAACTGTCTCTACAACTACTTAGCAGAAGTCCTTTTTGGTCAATCTTCTCAAAGGCAGGCTATTTCTACAGTGTTTTCCATCCCAAGTAGTTTTATAACACTCCCTGCTGCCAAAGCTTGCCATTTTACAGTACATTTTACCAGCTCATGCTGAAGATGGCTAAAGGAAGTTTTAAAAGAAATTTAAAGAATTGTCTGCTCTGCTAGCTAAATTTTTTAGACAAAGTGGTACCAATTTGTGATAGAGAATGGATAGTCCTCTACTTTCCCCCCCCCCAATCTTTTAGCAAAATTGTTCATGTTTTGAGGTTTGCATCATTGACAGTAGACTCTGCCTTAAGGGTATGGGAAGCAGAATCTTGTCCTACTTATCTGGATCAATTCCAAATGACTCATTTTGACCCTGGCCACTCTGGCAACCAGCAACATTGGGACAAAGGAAATTAAATATGAGAACCATCTCAGACTGCCTTCCTAAATCCTAAAAAAGAAAAAAACAAACAAACAATTACTCTTTTCAAGAAGAATGTTTATTGCAGGTCTTAATAGTTCTAATATGAAGTAAATAGAAAATGACACAGAGTTGTTAAAAAGGAGTAAAAGGAAACAAATAGGCAGATTACATACACTATTGAAAAGCATTAAGAGAAAAGATACAACTCCATCTACCCTTGACTGCACATGTAGCATCACTGCTCTCTATTATTTCGGCTCTTCCTGAAATAAAAGCAGGGACTAATGGAAAAAACAAAATGGCAGAAGCATTCTGTGTTGGTAACCTGTAGTTCATCACTTTAGTTGGCTAAATATATACTCCATTGTAGATTATGCAACATGCAGCACACTTTATCTTCCAGACAATTCTTGTTGCTTGTAATCAGTACTGGCAAGGAATAGGAAGTGCAGAAGATGGGCAATTTCTGTAGAACAAACATTGTCTGAAAAGGCTTCCGCTACTGCAGTTTTCATACATATGAAAAATTCCCCCTTGATTATGTTACTTTTGTATCCAAATTCCACATGGTTTGAAGTCATGTTATCTAAACTTTAATTTGACAAAAAGAACTCCCCCCTTCACACACACCCTGCCTTTTCAGTAGTGCAGAGTTTGTCCACTAGGTCCAGTCTGTAGATGAAATTGCCTTTCAAGAGCAAGTCAGGAACTAAACTTTAAAGTTGCGTAGAAGAATGATTAGCACTTCCTCCTCTGCTGGGCCCACTGCAGAAAGTGTGGTGGGTGAGTCTTAATAACAATCTGTCTATCAAGATATGATTTCCAGCAGAGTAGATTAATTCATTAATGGTACCAATGTTGTTTGAAATTATATTTAAACATTAATTTTTAAAAAGATTAAGAATTTCCAAACTGAACTGCCAGTAGAGTACTAAAAACTACTGCATATACTACCTGCATTCTCTTTCAAACAGCTGTGGACAATCCATGGTAGGAACAGGATGAGAAACCAGTACTGGAGGATAGATTTCCAACTGAGCAGTGGACTTGGTTTACATGGATACTGCAGTATCATCATGACATGCTGACATGGGGTGTGTGGAGAGTTTAAGTGGCTCAGAAGCAGCAGGACAAAGTGCCTTGAGCCCAACCGCAGGAGATTTGTGAGCTGCAGCATTTTTCGTGGTGTTTTGCTTCCCAGCAGTTTGCCCAGATTCTTGACAGCGCTTGTTGCAGAAGATCTGCCTTTCTTTATCTAGAGCTGTGTTCTATAATGCAAACAAACATTTACATCACTTAGGGCTAGGATTTTCACACAGACACAGCAGACAGACACACACATCCATCCTTTGACACATGCACCAGGCTGAAGAAAAGGAGAAGTAACATAACACATCTTTGCCAAAGTTGTGGGTTCTCTGGATTTTTGGGGCTAGCTTTTTACATGCAGAGCACTGGCAACAAACTGCATGAAAACATGCTATTGCAGTGTCAATGGAATCAATTTTAATGAGCTGCTTGAACAAAAAGAGAGTTAAATGTCTCATTTGCAAGTCCGGTGAGGCAAAAGCAAACATGCACTATTAACAGAATGGACACAGCACTTCTTAAATTCCCAGACCCTGAGCTAGACATTGTTGCAACATAATTACTTGTTGCAACGTAATTAATTGTTGCCCCAGATGCGGATTTGCATTAAGGTACACCCCACTCAGAAAAGCACTACAATGAAGATGAGGTTGTGCAGACAGATGTGCACCCATTTCCACACTGACAACATACATAGATCACTCTTGAAGGATCAGAGTATCAACTATTAAGCAACAATACAGGTCTGGATCCAGCATGAAATTTCTGCTTACACAAGTGAAAACACAAGGACCGTGAAAGCCACCTTTGCCATGTCATATTTACTGTATCCCCATTTGCATTTCTGCTTGCACAAAATCTCATGCAACCAGTTTCTGGGCAGTATAATATATAGAGAGGAAAGTGCTGGTGTTGCATAAGATCTTGCACAAGTAGAACTGTGCTAAGTCCATTTATGTTTTCATTTGTGCAAGCCATTGCCTAGAAAAGTTAACATGCTGTGGTTAGAATAAGACATCAAAGTAGCAGGAGTCTTATGGTTTAGTTGACACCCAAAGAGAAACTCAATATGGGCGCTTCCTGGGGATGGGTTAGCTAAGACTTTTTGATCTATATTCACAACATCATACTGGTTTAACATGTGCCCCTATGGCATCGAGAATGCTACTGACTGTGCCAGTGTTTGCCCAACATATATTTTGTCTGTATGAAAATCTGGGATGTTTAGGAATACTCAAGTAGATGAGATTGATTTCTGTAAATACACACTAAAATTACAGTGACAAAAAGAACATAAATATGTATTGCCAGGTTACATTTGCAGTTACATATATGTCGTCCTAAGTGGAGTTTCATTTTTCTAAGCTCACTGACTTCAATGGACCTGGAGGAATGCAGTTGTTTATGATTCATTGCTAGAGCATTATCAAACCCAAGACCATTTAACATGTTTTACTGCCAAAACATTGTTATCACAATTTAAGAATGACATGAAATGCCAGGCACTAGCTCATTAATGTGACTTGAAATGGGATTGAATCATCTGGACTCCAAGATCAAATATTTATCCGTACTACATTTTAATTCACCATCATTTAAAAGGAATGTCAACTATGGGTGTCAACTTTTATTAAATGCCCCTCCCAAGGTGTTAAGTGATTATTACAACTTTGCCTGGCATTCTGGTGTTCAATACTAGAAATGCTGGTTTGTAATCCAGGGCACTTTATTATACCTAAGAGTTTACATTGTAGTTTGCTGCCACCTTCTACAGGTCCCTTACTACACTTAATACTACACTGCCCTGTTTACAGCCAGTTTGGTAATCCTGGATGGTTCTAGGTATACATACATTTGAGAAAGAATGTACCCAATATAATTTGTACAACCTAATTCCACTCAACTGGTTTGAAGTGTAAGAAACTGAACACTTCTAAAGAATTTTCATGAAGTTTATAATTTCACTTTTAAAAACCCCTAATATTTATACTGATACAACTTTTTGAGCATCTTTTTCCATATTGGGCAGTGTTTACTGGGAACTGGCAGTGAAATCTTCCTGTAGTATTAGTTGCAGAGGAGTCAGAATTACATAAGAACATAAGAGACGCCAATGTCAGATCAGGCCAAAGGCCCATCCAGTCCAACACTCTGTGTCACACAGTGGCCAGAATTAGTATACAAAATACAGTTTATCAAGACTTGCAAGGACTTGGGGAGGGGGAGGCATCTCATTTTCCCCAGTATCCTCCTCCTCACGATGTTTTCCTAGCAGCCCCCTTTCCTGCTTCCTTCTCTCCTTGCAACACACAGACCTACCTACCTTTATCTGCCCCCTCCCCAGCCTTCAGTTTTCCCTCATCTCCCCTGGCAGCCTTTCCTCTTCTCTTCTATCCACCTATCTTTTTATCTTCTTGTTACTTTCAGCCTCTCTCTCATTCCCTGTGTCCTCCCCTTCCTTCCACATTTTACCTTGATCAGTCACCCCCCTGTCCTGGGTGTGATCTTAGTCATTATGTTCCATTGACAAAGTACAAGCAAACTGCAAACGTTACATGGTAGAGAATAGCCGAGGTGACTCATTTGGTAACTTGCCACCAACCCCAAATGAGTCATGTGGTGACAAGCCACCCTCATCAAGAAAACTTGTGCAGGTTGTGTGGTACCAAGTCACCTAGCTAAGCTGTGCAGTCGTTGAGCCCAGGTGAATCAAGGAAATCACATGATGACAACACCCAGGTAAATCATGCGTGTTGCAAAATGAGTTGTGCAGTGGCTGCCACCAAACCTGGCTGACTTGCACAAGTTGAACCACAGAGAATTACCTGGATGAATCAAGTGGGCAAGTTTGTACAGTGTTGCTGGGCAAGTTTGTACAGTGAACATTATATGACCCAGGCAAGCTGCACACATTGCATGGTACTGAATTGCCCTGAAGAGTTGTGTAAAAATGTGCTAAATAATTAAAAAATGACTACAGTTTGTGCTAAATTCTTACTGTGTATAAATTACAAAATTACATATACAATATGCAAGGTAATGTTATAGGACCATCCTATGAAGATTCCAGGTAAACATTTCAGAATATTTTCCTCAGAGATGGACAAATAGCAATTCATGTGAAACTGATGATAAAAAGAGTACAGTAAATAATGTTTTAAAATATTTTAACATAATATAAAACAATTTTAACATGATTTTTAACAATGTAATTTTTACTTAACTTAAAGAAAATTTATAGCGTATTCTGAGATAAAAATACCTGCAATAACTACATTTTATCAAGACTCCGTTATTATTTGGTAAGCGCCCATCAGTTTCTATGTAAAGCCAATAAATATCTATTATTATTCAAAAGTAATGCAAAACTATACCAAACCAAAAACAAGAAAATAACTTTCCGCTTTGATAAGCTATGGCTCATTAAGACAACATGAAAATTGGGTAAGCTTTGGCTCATTTCAATTTTGATATAGTTTTGCCTTGCTTTTGAATAATAATAGATATTTATTGATTTTTACATAGAACCTGATTCACACTTACCAAATAATAACGGAGTCCTGATAAAATACAGTTATTGCAGGGATTTTTATCACAGAATATGCTATAAATTTTGTTTAAATTATGTAAAAATTACATTGCTAAAAATCATGTTTAAATTATGGTTAAAATATGTTAAAATATTTAAAACATTATTTACTGTACTCTTTTTATCATCAGATTCAGATGAATTGCTATTTGTCCATCTCTGAGGAAGATATTCTGAAATGAATATCTTTGGAGTATGGTCCTATAACATTACCTTACATATTGTATCTGTATTTTTGGAATTTAGACACAATAAGAATTTAGCACAAATTGTATTCATTGTTTTATTTATTTAGTGCATTGTTACATAGTTTTCTTCCTTCTCTTTGCGACTATGGACTATGGCAGGGGGAAGCACCCTTTCCAAAGCTGTTTTGGCCTCCTAGTCCATTCCGTGCCCCCCCCCCAATTTTTGACTGACATAAAACAGGGCTTGAAAGCGGAAATGCCGCTGTGGTTGCCTAGCAACCACCCTAAATGGCCACCAAGATCTCAGTGGGCATTCATTTCTTAAAGCTACAGATGTTGTTGTTAGCCATTCAGTCATGTCTGACTCTTGGCGATTCTATGGGCCAGCTCTCTCCACATTTTCCGATCTTATACTGTTTCTTTGAGTCGCTCCGTGCTCAGGCTGGTGTTGACTTTTCTGGTGTCTAGCCACCGTGTTTCTTGGTGGTCCGGCTTCCTTTTGCCGCTAACCAATACAAGCATATTTACTTTTGTTGTGAGTTTTTCTGCATGACATGGCCGAAATAAACCAGTCACAGTTTTGTACTTTCTGGTTTTATGCGCTCCAATACTTGCTTGTCACCTTTGCTGTCTAAGGAATGTGCAGGAGCTACAGATATTGCTCTATTATTTTGAAAAGTTTTAATCCTGAATGCATTCTTTAAAGATTTCAATTGCTTTCATGCCTTCATTGGGTGGATTTTTAAAATCCACACTATGGTCCAGTTCAGAATTAGATACATGATGGTAAAGCTTCCTTTGGACTATACCCTATTCAATTCTGATATCAGTTCCACATTCATATACTTCCCTATCTAAAACAAACTTCCTCTTCAGAGAAAACGAGAAGACTAAGGTGAACCTATCTTTCTGATTTGCTAGTTTTCAATGAACATGGACCCCCCCATTTTTTTCCAAATACACAATTTTACTATGCACACTTAAATCTGAAGCAGCAGAGTCCATATTTGATTCTACTGAATATATAAAGGAGCTCCCAAGACTGCTTAGGTCTCAAGCAACTTTACTGGTCATCAGATAACAAAATTATTGCATAAGTATCTGATTGTTGTTAGGTAGCATAGACAAAGATTTTATGGAATTGTGTTGGTCAACAAAAAAAGAGTACAAAACCAAAAATCATCCCATACCCTTTAAGACCAAACCAAAATATCACAAAACATAGTGCAAGCTTTCAAGTTCTCCAGAACTCTTCATCAGATGAAATGTTCAGAATAAAGGACAAAAAGCCTCGGGCCACTGTGGAAAGGTCTACAGTGTACAAAGTCCCAGAACAGAATAGAGGATGTGCTGCAGATTTAGTAGGACTGATGGAACTAGAATACAGAGGCACGTTTCTCCATTTGAAAACATAAATGCTAGTACAGCTAGAAAAGGGATACTGAAACACTAATTTATGAAAAACATTGGCGATGGCAGCAGAGATTGCCATGAGCAGGAGCAGAATACCGCAGAAACCTTTTTGAGGCGCTCTTTGTCTACAGAAAGCTAAAGAGCTGCTCCATTTTAAAAGGAATCTGCTTACAAAGAAGGCTGTGGCTCACAGCTTTTGTCACAGGTTCAGCCCCAGTTAGAACACAGGTACAGGAAAGCCTTTTGTCCTCCTCAAGCCTTGGAAAGCCAGTGCCAGAGTAGACTAAACTGAGCTAGACAGACCAACAGTCTGACTCTGTACAAGTCAGGTTTGTGTACATGTTCAAATACACAGGACACCATACATGAGTGAAATGATGCAGACATATAAATGCAATGAAAAAATGTCCTATGCTGCTTCTGCATAAGACAGGTATCCCCACCTCAGACTGCAATCGGGTTACTTCTCCTTTTCTGTCAGACTCTAAAATAATATGTTGTAATGTGGCAAAAAAAAGCAGCATAGTTAGTACATACCATTGCCTTGGACCTACTCAGAGGAAAGCAATGCAGGCATTGGGAAAGGAAGCAAAAGAGGAAGCAAGGGACAGACACTAGACTTACTTGAAGCAGAACCAATAGTTTTGCAACATTTACAAATACAATCAACCACATTCTGAAAAAAGCAGCACTAAAATTATTTCAATGTAGAATTTTATGCATTTTTTTAAAATCACAAGGAACAGCGGCAAACCATCCTTTAAATGTAATTCATTCTTCTACCACACGAGGGCTTTATCTGCCTTAGCTCAAATTTTCAGAGGAAAAACAGTTTTCTGATTTTTTGCAACACAAGACTGAAAATGAATTAGGATTCAGTGAAGATATTAATCTGTATGGGTTGGAAGAAGAAACTGGATGCTTACCACAGAAGTGAAACAAATGTGACAGTAACTATTATATTGTATAGCCCATGTCTTCCACTTAAACATTTTCTGATTTCCCTAAAATGTTGTGTGTTTTGTAATAAACATAAACCCTAACAGTAAAGGTAGGAAGGACTTTTGGTTCCTCCCCCATCCACCCCGGTTTCTGTCATATCCTATATTTTGCTATGGCCAATTCACACTTGTCAGAATTAATTAGCAGGTAATGGGAGGAAGAAAAAAGGAGGTCTTGAACAAAAATCAAATTTAGTTGTTCGGTCCTTTCAGAAGTTATCCTCTCTCTTGATTCTCATCTAATTAATGCAGCAAGTGACCAGATTTTTTAAAAAACAAACCCATTTACTTACTACCAAAGAGCCTGCTCTCTGTATGTTTTCTCAGAATTCAGTGTGGCTTAGTTTCCAGTAAGCATGCCTAAGATTTCAGCCTTTATGAGCAAGGAAGGAGATAAGGCAGAGAAAATGGGAAGTTAAAAACGTGTAGGGGGGATGCTTCATTGACTGGAAGCAAAATGATCAGGCCAGAGAATTAGAAAACTCCACACCAATAAAAAGCCATAAGCTACATTATTCTGAAGACTGGAGGCAAGCTTAAAAGGGCATGCAAACTGGAGAGCAGCTAAGAGTTAGAATTTAAAATCACTCTATTTAATAATGTATTTGATACCAGGTTTCTGCTTCAGGTTTATCCATAGTCTCAACAATACAAAGTATGAAGCTCTGAGGTTCCTCAGACTGTCAAGTCAAACTGTCAAACAAAATGCAAGCAACAGTATCAGCCTAAAATAGTTTGCCCTTCTTTCTGCTCTTGTATTTGGTTCTAATTTTTTTTTAAAACCACTACATTTAAAGCCGTCATGCATCACAAACACAGCCACATAAACGGGTCCACATCCTGAAACAAGTAGGTAATATAATCTTTCCACATACCAAAAGTTTTCCTTTCCAATCTAAAATGGATTTCAAGTGTCCTATTGGCATGTCAGTGACCATTGTGCTGCATGTTAGTGATGCAATGCAAACAGAAACTGAACACTAACTTAAGCATCATCTTTAAGAACTTCATTGCCAAAAGGCTGTATTTTATGAGACAAAAATTCATTTCAGCCACAGAGATAACAGTTGAAAACCAACTATGACAGGGCTGAACGACAACAGAAGATGGAAATGGAAGAATTGTTTGCTGAGAATAATAACTTTTGATTATTCAGAGTAATCTGAATATGAAAAGTCATTTCTGTAATTCCTTTCCAAGTACTGTTCTTAAAAATGCATGCGCATGCCCACACATCCAATGTGAAAGAAATACAGACACAATGAGGAATGTGCACTGTTATTTTTTCACTGGAAGGATTTAACATGATTCTATTTTTTGAAGATTAAATGGCTGATAGGTTAGTGAATAATTAATGACAAAGATGTATTTGCTTACCATGATGACAGAAACCCCTGCGGTTGGGTTATTCTGTTTGGGTAGTGTGTTGTTAAAGTGCTGCTTTAATTTACCTGTTACTTCAGCTTGCATATTATTCTCCTGGGAGGTATCATCCTAGTTAAAGGAGGAGGGGAAAAATCAACAGCAACACATATTTTAATACAGCAATTTCCTTTTTTGTGGAGTGGGATGGATAGCTAGTCTGGACAGGGATTTCTCCTCTGTGACTTGGCAGGTAGTTCAGTTTGAGGAAAACTCTAAAAACACAATACAGATGAAATTGTTGGAATAACAAGAGGCTTGATTTAGTAATGCTACTGTCAACATTATTAATCATCAAGCATCTTTGCTGTGATACAGCTCTTTTGCTCTAACAAAATGCTTAATAAACTAAAGAAAAAGTGTTTACATGTTGAACTGATTCCCCAGACACTTGCGCCTCTTTTAATTGACAAATTTATTTCAGCACATTATGCAGAAAGGGCCTATTAAAATATGAAGGGGATCAACCCCAAACCTCCAAGAGACCCATGCAGAAAAATAGGCTTCAGGACATAAATCCAGGGCCCTCCTGTTTTGTACTTTTACTAAATGAGAATCTTCCTCCAAAGCAGGAAACACTTCATCTGTCAGAGGAACACTCTCAGTCAGTGAAAGGCTGTCTTAATCTATTTGGATTCCACCCCAAATGCACAGCTAATCTGTGCTTATCAACCATTGTTTGGGGCTGGACTTTAAGCTCTCTTCCTATCCAACAAGTCACCTGTACTGTTAGGAGGACTGATTGATCATTCATTGTTGATGAAGAAAGTATTCAGTGCCACACTGCCTTATAGCAATCACACTGGGAGCAACTTCAGATGATACAGATAAGCCACTGGCCACCTCAGCCTCTTCTGCACTCAGTGAATACAGCACATGCAAGTTTTCTATTATGACTAACTAGCAGTAAAGCCCGTTGTGAAAGCAATACAACGGGATCTAGAAAGAGGCTCTGGGGCAGTGCTCTGGCTTTGGGAAACAGTGTCAATTTGCTGTGGTGACCTTAGCAGGGTATAATGACAGAGTCCACTGTTTTCTCCAGAGGAACTGATCTCTGCTACCTGAAGAGCAGTTGTAATTGTGAGTAATCTGTAGCCCTCACCTGGAGATTGGCAACAATTGTTACCCAGGACAAAATGGCTGGTTTGGAGGGTGGAGTCATAGACTATTTATGAGCCATTTTAAACCAGTAAAAAAGAGCAAAAGTCCAGTAGCACCTTAAAGACTGACATGGCTACCCATCTTGATCTATCTCCGTTTTAAAACACACACACCGTAGAAGAGAGAGTATGGAGGTAACTCGCAGCATGCTGAGTCATCACATAAAGTTTGGACTTCACCATTAGCTGTAGTCCAAAACAGCAGGGCTTTAACTCAGTGAGAGCTTCTTTAGAGGTAACTCTGTTTAAATGTGCAGAATAAGAAGGCATGTTACTCACCGACACCCAGGGGTGGTTTAAAATCTGAGATGCTGTATATCGTGCTTCCACATTTACTTGTAACATCAGACTAATTAACTCCTGAGAAAAAAGGAGAGAGAGAAAATGAGCATTGATATGATATGGCTCTTTTGGTCAGAGCTTTAAGCCTGGGTAATCACATTAACCTGAGACACTCCTTTTGCTAAGAACATCTTATATTTTAATACTGAAGTCCACCAAATTTTGGATACTTAAATCCAGTGGCTGGGAATGTGAACAGGCAAGATGGACCTTTCTACAAACCTGAAATGGGCCCCTGGTTTGCTGAAAAATGTGAAATCTAAAAAAACACATTGGGGTGTTTTTAAAAAGCAGAAAATAATAAAAGGAGCATCTGTAGCTTTAAGCAACAGATCCTCTCAGTGGCTGTTGCTAGGCAACCACAGGTTACAAGGTTTGGTTCTGTCAGTAAAAACTAGAGGGAGGGAACACAGTCCTTTCCAGGCCTATTTTGGCCTTTGAGGGAGGGCACCTTTGGGCCAGGCCTGACTAGGGTTGGTAGCTCCAGGTTGGGAAATTCTTGAGAGATTTTGTGGTGAAGTCTGCAGAGGGAAGGGTTTGAGGAAAGGAGAAACCTCAGGCAAATATAATGCCATAGAATTCACTCTAGAGAATTCTATGCAGCCATATTCTCCAAGATGACAGATCTCTGTCACTTGGAATTCAGCTGTAACTCTGAGAGATCTCCAGGCCCCACCTGGAGACTGGCAACCCTAGGCCTGGGAGCAACCTATGGGTTACCTGATACCACCCAACTTCCATAATTCCACTAGGCATGGCTGCTTGCTACTGTTCAACAGCAGCCACCCAATAAAGGCCAGTATGGTGGTCAGAGTAGGGTCTAGGGACCCAGGTTCAAATTTCCATCTGGCTGTGGAAGCTCACTGGGTGATTTGGACCATTCACATCCTTTTCAGCCTAACCTACCTCACAGGGTTATTGTTTGGATAGAAAGGAGGAGAGGAGAATAATGTAAGCTGCTTTAGTCCCCACTGTGGAGAAAGGTGCAGTATAAATGAACTAAACAAATAATAAAAATAGCTGAAGATGGGAGGCAGATAAAAGGTTGGTTGGTGAATGACTAAGAAGGAGAGAATGAGGCAGGGAAAGGGGTGAGGATATGGGGGTTGCCAGAAGGACAGAAAGAGGAAATAGTGTGGGAAGGGGTGGTAAGAGGAGAAAGTGAGGTGCCACCCCACAAATCCTTGAGGGTTCCCTACCATGCAAGTGGACCTTGCCCAGTAGCTGCCACCGCACAACTGGACTACAGTTTTCCTACGTACAGGCTGCTAGCGGGGGGGACATCCTAGAGATTTGGGAGGTGGAGCCTGGGAACTGGGATTTGAGGAGGGGAGGGGGCTCAGATGGGTTTAATGCCATAGACTCCACCATCCAAAGCAACCATGTCTTCCGTGGAAACTAGTGTTGTCAACCCCCAGGTGGGGGCTGGAATCACCTGGAATTACAATTGCTCTCCAGATGACAGGGATCAGTTCCTCTGGAGAAAATGGCTGCTTTGGAGGGTGGACTCTATACCCTGCTGTGGTTGCTTCCTTACCCAAACCTGGCCCTTTCAAGGCTTCACCCCCAAATCTCCATGAATACCCCAAGCTGGAGTTGGCAATCCTAAAGGGAAACTGATCTCTTTAGCTGGGAGATCCGTTGTGATTCCAGGAGATCTCCAGGCCCCACCAGGGGTTGGCAACCCTAGAAGGGAAAGATAGCAAGGAAAAGGGGGAGATCCTATGGAGGCTTTCAAGAATGGGAAAGGGGAAATCGTGGATGGCGGGAAAGGAGATATTTTCCGCAAATCCTTGCGGGTTCGCACTTGTTTTTTTTCTCTCCAAATTTTCATTTTTCTTAGACTCTGAGTTTACATTCTCCCAAACAGTTGTCCCTACTCCTTTGTAGAAGTGCAATCAGAACAGGCTGATTCCTCAGTGCTTGTGCGGCTTTGTCATTGACTAACACCACCTCAGCCTTCTCTGAATTGGCTTCAGTTTACTGGCCCCCCATCCCATTATTTTTGCAAGTATTTGTTAAGGACTTTCAAACACCCATCCAACCCAGTTGTTAGGCAGAAATAGAGCTGGGTGTCATGCACACATTAGCAGCACCTCACTCCAAATTCCCAGATGATAATTTCCAGAGGTTTCATATAGATGTTTCCTGGATGACACATCGGCATTGGATCCATTCCAGTCAGGCTTTTGCCCCCACTAAGGGACGGAGATGGTGTTGGTTACCCTGACAGACAGTATCCACAGACATCTGGAATGAGGCGGGTTGCTGCTGCTGCTGCTGCTGCTGCTGCTGCTGTTACTTGATCTCACAAAAGCATTTTACACAATTGACTACAACCTACTGACCCACCGCCTTACCGATGTGGGAGTCCTTGAGGTAGTCTTGAATGGCTTTCCTCATTTCTCCTCAGTCAGGAACAGAGGGTGGCACAGGGGGAGAGGGTGTCAACTAGGTACACCTTAATATGTGGGGTTCCTCAGGGGGCAATCCTCTCCACAATGTTATTCAACATCTGTATGCGGCCACTCGCCCAGCTAGTGTGGAGTTTTGGGCTGGGGTGTCACAGTACGCTGATGACAACCAACTATACCTGTTAATGGACAGCCGCCCAGATACTGCCCTGCATAACTTGGCCGTGGGTTTGGAGGCCGTGGTGGGATAGTTAAAAAGAGCCAGCTGAGACTGAATCCAACAAAGAGGTTCTGTCGCTGGGGAGGGGCTTCAGGGTTGGGGCACAAACTTCCCATTCTTGATGGGGTGCCATTGACACCAGCGCAAGCCATCAGGAGTTTGGGCATGGTCCTGGATGCCTCCTTATCCATGGAGGCCCTGGTCACAAATGTTGCCAGGCTGGTGTTCTTCCATCTACATAACGTGCGGCAACTAGCCCCTGTTGCACCCTGACCTAGCCACAGCTCTTGGTTGAGAACGGTGACAGGGTCTGTCATGGCTGGCACCCCTCCTTTATTCCATCTTTTCTTTCAGCCTCCTCCTTACCTGACCTGCGAGGTGGCAACAAAGTCCAGAACTGGCTTAAAATTTGATTCATGGACACCATCTGGGAACTGTTTTTGAGACTGTATTGAATGATTTATTATTGTGACTTAATTGATGTTTATGTTGTACATCGCCCAGAGCCCTGTGAACTCAGGGATTGGGCGATCCATAAATTTAATGTATAAATAGAATGAAATAAATAAATAAGACCATTTGGTGTAGTGGTTAAGTGCGTGGACTCTAATCTGGGAGAACCGGGTTTGATTCCCCACTCCTCCACTTGCACCTGCTGATGTGACCTTGGGTCAGTCACAAGCTCTGGCACAGCTGTTCTTGAAAAAGAGCAGTTTGTGTCAGAGTTCTCTCAGCCCCATTCACCTCACAGGGTGTCTGTTGTGGGGAGGGGAAGGGAAAGGAGTTTGTAAGCCGCTCTGAGACTCCAAGTGAAGGGCGGGGTATAAATCCAATCTCCTCCTCCTCCTCTCCTCCTCCATGGGGAGCAATATGGACCCTAGAAAGATCTCACAATATAAACGCCATGAGGCCAAACATAAGTCCATTCTGGGTAAATAACAACAAAACCATTGAAGTTGTTAGGAGAAACTAATCCTCATAGGTCGGATGATAACACACAAACACAGGAATGTTAAGTAGGCACTAAATCCTGGTGAAGTTTTTCTGAACTATTAAAACTAAAGCTTGAAGCAATAATAGGGGTGGCACAAATCAATTGCTTCTTGTTCCCACAGCAACACTCCCTTCTCTGGTTCTCTGTCTTTTCCTTTGAGTCAAGACCATGAACATATGTCAAAACAGAAAACTACTTATACTGAGAGACACTGAAGTTAGAGAATTATCTGAAATTGTGATTAAAGTAAAATACTGTACCAACAACACTACTTCAGGAACACAGAGAAAGGGCATGAAGGTTACACACCATGAGATCACTGTATTTTCAGCATACCAGGTTCTCTGCAGCCAGTTATAGTAGAAGACTAAGCCTAACTGTAAGGAATGCTTGCATAAATTCAAAACCCATCATCATTAATACAACCCAGTACCTTAGCAGAGTCAGTGATGTTATCCCAGTATGGAGAAGGAAACTCCAGCTTTCCAACAAGGATCTGATCAAACAGATCTTCTTGGACATTGTTCTCACTGTGGATCAAGGGAAGCCAAAAAATAATTCAACATACTGGTTAGAATTAACATATTTAAAATTGGGAAATGATTAATCAGATCACAGATGAACCAGATTGCCCTTGTTTTCACTTTTGTGTGAAGAGAACAACTGGGGAGGAATATTTCTAGCCGCATCACATCCAATAAGGTACATATGAGCACCACAGTAGTACATAAAGTAAGATCAACATTCACTAATCCAGTTTGATGTAGTAGTTATTGTGCTGGTCACAGGTTCAAGTCCACATGTATCCATGGATCCCAGTGGTTGATCTTGAGCCAGCCAGTCTCTCATTCTACCCTACTGCACATGAGTGCAAAACAAAAGATAGGATAACCCTGCAGATCATCTTCACTTTCTTGGAGGAAGGGTGTGATAAAATGTCTGACAGTTATTTACTATAACCTGTGCCAATGGTCATACACATTTGTATGCATGAACACAGATACCAATGAATCCCTGAACTTGCAAACTTTAGGTAAATAAGAGGGATATTGTGAATATTTTATATTTAGTAATAATAATTATCATATGGCATTGTGTGTAGAATAGCCAGGAGATCTTAATATTGTCTGGCAGCCATAAGTTCTAGCTCTTTTAGTGTAATGCACCATTAGGTGGCAAACTAGACTTGTTTTTAAGGCAAAAGATGTTTCGGAGGTGGTTTGCCATTGCCTGCATCTGGTATTCCTTGGAGGTCCCCCTTCCAAATAGTAGCCAAGGCCAACCCTGCTTAGCTTCTAAGATCTTACAAGATCAGGCTAGTCTGGGCTATCCATGTCAGGTTCTGTATTTACTCCTGTCTAAACTGGGGAGTCTGGTGCAGATAGCCCAAGCTAGCAGAGGCAGGCAAAGGCAACCACCTCTGTTTGACTCTTTCCTTGAAAAACCTACATGGTTGCCACAAGTCCACTGTGACTTGACAGCACTTTCCATTACCAAATAGGTGAGAGGGTATACAAGTAAGCTCTTGTCTATCTGCAAACTGAAGCAAGTTCTGGGAAAACAAAATTATTTTCCTTTACAGTGCAAGCAGGAGCAGCTACTAAAAGCTAATGATACTGGAAAAGTAATTGTTAATCCATTACTTCCAGCATTTGCAGTTATCTTTTCATAGATGTTCTGCAGAAGCTACCTTGCTCACTTGAAATGGTACAAAACAAGCACTGCTAGTTGCCATAAACTACAGAATATGAAGCAATATCTTTATTTCCCTCAAATCAGTAGGCTCTGGGGTTATTTACAGCTACACAGGTCCATTTCACACATTCACTTGCAGAAGTATAAATAATTTGCAAACCTGGAAGTCCTGTATCACAGGCATGTCTTAACTAAGCTAAATGAAGCTACTTGACCAACCAAAAGTTTACAGCTACTAAAATGGAATGTTTTAAATACATTTACAATATGTATTGTAAAATATGTACTTTACAATATGTTTGGAACTTCTGAGGTCATATTCAGTGTATGGATTACAATTACGTGCTAGTCCAGCTCGTAACACTAGAGGGCGAGCTCTGCATGCTTAATACAATGAAACTATGTACTGAAGCATGACATTCAAGGAGAATATAAAGATGGAGAAACCAGTTTTGTGTTTGGAAATTACGCCTACCTCTGTTAAAACAATATAATGTACTCAACTCTACCTATAAACATATTGCTTTTTTCCTGAATATACTGATGGCAGATGAACTAAAGGCATTGGAATTATCTGAACGTGAGGAAGGAATGAAAATGGAACGAAGCCAGCTGAAATAGGAAAAAGAATGGAGATATATTTATAATAAAAATATGGAAATGTTGTGGGTAGGGAGAAACAATACTTTTTTACAATCTTACCTACGAAATGGTGGAAACCCACATAGCAATATATAAGTGATGACCCCTGCAGCCCAGATGTCCACCTTTAAGCCATAACTATAAAAAAGAAGAAGTGAGTGTGTAATGTCTTTTACATATACTGCAAAAAAATTCATATTAAGGTTTCAGATTTACAGGCATGTAACTGTGTGTGGTTTTTTTTAAATTTGAGCCTGATACATCTTGCCCTCCACCTAGAACACACTGAAGGCTGTATTGAGTGAATCCAACTTTGGAATTTATTATACAGAATATAATAAAACGTCAATTATCCACCTATCACATATTCAAACCTCACTATGTTGCATTTTAGTCCATACCAAAAATGACATTAACTATATTGACAGAGAGAATCCATTTTAAATCCATATTCTCACCCAGTCTCTGCAATAATTTCTGGAGCCACATAAGTAGGTGTGCCACAGACTGTATACAATGGTCCTTCAACCACTGTGGCAAGTCCAAAGTCTCCCAACTTCAAGGACTTAGTTCCATCAGAATACTCACAGACCTGGGGAGGCAGGGCGAAAATAAAGAAGGTTTAGTAATTTATATATGGAAATACAGATACAACAATACTAGTGTCTTACTGTATTGCTGTAAAGATTAGTGCCATAGAATTTGTGAAGTTCATGGTGCAATTAAATACTTTACAGTAACACCCCCCATCTTAAAAAAAAGCTTGGCAGATGAGGAGGCAGTGGCAGCACAAATGGTGGGGCACCTTCCCGGGTACCTGGTCCACCACCAGGGGCTCTTCTTGGCATCTTGTGGTACAAGCAGCGGGGAGCATGTGGAGACCCTCTGCAGGCGGTGCCCAGTGGGGGGCTCTCCTCACAGAGCTGCAGCGGGTGGCGCGGGGAGCACAGGGACCCTCGGGCCTTGCCAGTCTTGGGGCACAGGGCAGAGGTGCAGAGCCAAATCCTGTAGGCCAGGCATCCTCCCCCCTCCCTGCCCAGAAGCCGCTTCGCCCTCGGCAGCAGCGAGGTGGCTCCCACCATCCTACCCAAAGCGCGGTGCTGGCCACTGACTGCCCGTGTCCCAGACCCACGCACGGCCGTACTCCCCCTCCACAGCACTGGGCTGCTGCGGGGAAGGCGGGTGGGCAGGCAGGCAGGATCAATTAGTTTCCAGGCCTGGCGGCCCTCCTTGCATCTGGGCAGGGATGCATGAGTCTATCTGGACTGGCAGACCTGGAAGGGGTGGGGTGGGGAGGCTACAGGCAGGCCTGACCTGGGAGGGGGCAGTGCTGTGCATCTCCATGGTTGGGGGGCAGCTGTACCAAGACCACCCTCCTTCCCCCTATCCAAGAGCGCCATGCTTGACCGGGAGGCCAGCCCCAGCCCCCCCCCCGGTAAATTGGAAAGCTTATGCCCTTGCTAGCTCCTTCCCAGCTTGCAAACAGCATCCTCCTTTTGATGGCCAGCATTTGGGGATGCCATGTCTCCAGGGGGGACCTGGGGATCATCTGTACTTTCACCCAGTGTTCCCTCTAAGCTGAGTTAGTGTGAGCTGGCTCACAGTTTTTTAGCCTCCGGCTTTTGTCTTAGCTCAGGAAGAATGGCTCCAGAGCAAACTAATTTATGCAGAAGCCAAATAACTTGCTCACAGTTCTAATGCTAGTATCTCACAAAGTAGAATTTTTGCTTGCAGGACTCCACAGCTTAGAGGGAGCATTGCAGAGTTACAGCTTATCTCCTGCCTATAGATATCAGTTCCCAGGCATATAATGAATGCTGTGGAAGGAGGACTCCATGGCATGGTACTCCATTGAAATCCCTGTTCTCCCCAGATGTAGTATCTCATGTATCTCAGTGGTCCAGGCATTTCAATGGGGTCGCCATTGTGCTGTTTTGGTGTTGTGTTATAGCGCTATAGCGCTCTTAAAAGAACGTTTAAAAAAAAGATGGAGATCGCCCACGCGGGCGAAAAAGAGCAGGAAAACCTTGTCATTGGAGGAAGCACTATGGGGGCATTTTACACAGTACCCCGTAGCACTTCAGGAATGGTATAGAAAATTGAAGACCGCCTGGAAGTAGTTTGCAGGTAAAACAGCTCAGGAACGCTTCCCTAACGGGACAGGAGCATTTATGTATGAAAGGGCAATATATTCTGTTAGGGAACCAATACTAAAATGGTTCTGTCTGAAATGTCAGTACAGAAACCATTAGTGAACAGTTCCTGAAACGTAAAATATCAGCTGTCTGAAATTCCCCATTGACTTCATTAAGTCAAATGTATTGTATCCCCACTTCCAGTTCTACTGTGCTACCAATCTATGGGCACTGTAAACATACATGGAGGAAAGAGCTAGACCAGGGGTGGCCAAACTGCGGCTCGGGAGCCACATGCAGCTCTTTCACACATATTGTGCCGCTACCGGCAGGGGTGCCCAGGTAGC